CTGCTGGGCACAGCCATCACTCACCACTCTGAGTGGAGTGAGCCTCCTGCCAACCACGGCAGCTTAGTCTTGTTTGGTCCTGGCAGAACCGCCACAGTGCTAGGCAGGAGGAATGAGAAGGGGAACAGTTCCAGGCAGGAACACTGTGGACCCCCACTGTCCCTACCAAAGTCCAGAGTTTCTCAAACATCAGCACATCTCCAAATGGAATGTTTGGATGTCTTTGATCAGGTTCTAGAGCAACAAAATCATCATTATTTTTTCTTTGCGGTACCAGGGATCGAACTCAGGACCTTGTGCTTGACAGGCAGGTGCGGCACCACTGAGCTATATCCCTGGCCCTGTTTTTTTCTTTTTGAGACAGGGTCTTGCTAAGTAATTCAGGCTGGCCTTGAACTCACTATGTAGCCCGGACTGGCCTTGAACTTGAGGCGATCCTCCTGCCTCAGCCTCCTGAGTGCTGGGATTACAGGCACACACCACCACACCCAGTTTAGAGCATCAAAATTGTTCTGTCAATCTTCTCCAGCATTATAATTGCCTTTTTCAGAGAACATGCTGACCTCCTTACTTGAGTACAGTTGGAGTGTTGCCCAAAGCATCTGTGAGTACTTATCACTAGGTGACTGAAATGGAGATGCTGGAATTGGCGAAGAGAAATGCCTCAAATGGAAGAGGACTGTGCGCCTGCCACAGTGCCCTAATAACCTCTTACAAACCTTGTTCCAAGGCTTCTAACATGGTACAATTTCCTCTTATTACCAGCATTGCAACATTGTCCTCTTGCCCACTAGTTGCCATCTCTACTCATTCATCTGTCACAAAATTCATAAATTATAGTCCACACAAAATTCCTTGGACATGTCTGCCACTGTTTAATTTCAGTAACCTCTTATCCATAAAATGTTCAGCTCTGGCCGGGCATGGTGGCACATATGCCTGTTATCCCAGCACTCGGGAGGCTGAGGCAGGATCACTGTAAGTTCGAGGCCACCCTCGGCTACATAGTCGGTTCAAGGCCAGCTTGAACTACATAGCAAGACCCTGTCTCAAAAAACCAAAACCACAAACAAAAAATGTTCAGCTCTGGAGGGACAGCTTTGTATATTCTGTAGGCTTAAAAGTGCTTTAAAACGAGCCGGGCGTAGTGGCTCACGCCTGTAATCCCAGCACTCGGGAGGCTGAGGCAGGAGGATCACCGAGAGTTCGGGGCCAGCCTGGGGTACATGGTGGACCCTGTCTCAAACAAACCCCAAAACAAAAACAAAGAATAAATAAATAAAAGTGCTTTAAAATGGAAATGTCCTGGTTTTTCATGTCCTACTTTTTTTTTTTTTTTTTGGTACCAGGGATCAAACTCCGGACCTTGTGCTTGCAAGGCAGGTGGCAGAACCACTGAGCTAAATCCCTGGACCCTCATGTCCTACTGTTTTGTAAACTATATTCATTGGGTACATGCTACTGAGTTGTCCTTTGCCTCACTAGCCAGTATTTACTGACACTTTACTTTTCGAGGACTGGACTGTCTTTGGTCACCTAGTGGGCGTAGTAGTTCAGCCTGCATGGTACGCCATCTGAGTCTCTACAGCACTGTTTGTGCCATTATTACACTATTATTATAGCTTGTAATTTTTTTTTTTGGTACCAGGGATCGAACTCGGGTCCTTGTGCTTGCGCAGCAGGCAGTGAAACCACTGAGCTAAATCCCCGGCAGTGTTTTATTTCTTGCTCAAGGCTTCAGTGAGTTCATTATAAAAATCAGAAATGGGTCGGGGATTTAGCTCAGTGGTTTTGCCGCCTGCTGCGCAAGCACAAGGACCTGAGTTCGATCCCCGGTACCAAAAAAAAAAAATCAGAAAATACTGTGATCACACTCATGCTGTCACTCTGCAGGTCTCAACCACGGAGAAGGCCTTTTCTTTTTTTGTTCTTTTCGAAGGTCTTTTCTCAAACAGTTTTCAGTTGTGTTTCACAAACAAGGATAGACTGCCTGCTTCCACGCACAAAGTTCTCCTAAGTTTTGCTTTCATCAGATTTATGGTTTAACAACTTAGCCTTTTTACTTTCTTTCCTACACAATTAATTGAAATACTAGTACCTTCTGTCCGTGCCCTGCAGGTGAATATCCTTGCTTGGACTACTGAGCCCTGGCCTAGTATAAAAACAATTCTTTTTGAGGAGAGAGGGGAGAAAAAAATATATATTTTCGCTGATAAATGTATTCTCAGTGCTAGAGGCTATTAAGTTAACAGCTAATTTATAGTTGTTAGGTTTACTTGTAAATAAGAAAATATTCTTTCTCCTCTGCTGTTTCATAAAATGACTGTGGTTCCTAAAATACCATAACCTTGCATTGAAAAATTAATGAAACTGGTACATGGGTTACAGTCAGCTTAACAGTTCACCCCTGAGACCTCTTGGCTAATGCACACCGGGGTAATTCCAGAGTGGAGAGAGTCGCAGAGAGGGCCTTGCGGAAGAGAAGGGAGCAAACCTCACTGTGAGAAGACATCCGAGCATGTGCACTACTACCGGGCTGCAGTGTGCAGAGTCACGACATAAATCACAACAGTGATTCCCCTCCATCCTCATTTTAGTGACTGAAATTTTTTCAAATTGCAAAAGGATGATGTTTCTCTTTGACAATTCACATTGCACCACTAAAGTAAAAAGTCAAAGTTCCTCTTTCCCGTCCAACTTCTACTTCCCAGAGGTCTCTTGTCAAAAGTGTGATATGTTCCTCCAGACTTTACAAATAAACATGTTTTTGTTTTGTTTTACAAAACCAGGACAGGCCTGGCATGGTGGCACACGCCTGTGATCCCAGCACTGGGGAGGCTGAGGCAGGATCACCACGAGTTCGAGGCCAACCTGGGCTACATAGCGAGGTCAAGGCCAGCCTGAATTCTCTATATAGCAAGACCCTGTCTCAGAAAAAATCCAAAATTCTCCTCAAAAGCAGGACAGTATATGTATTATTTGACCCCCCGCCCCACCCCCCAGTACTAGGTATTGAACCCAGGTCCTTAGTACTGAGCTACATGCATCTCCAGCCCTCTCTCTCTCTCTCTCTCTCTCTCTCTCTAT